TCAGCGCGTAGGGCAGTGTCCGAGTAGCGGGGCGGTCGGTAGAGCGAGCAGACAATTAGCTGACGATCTTTCTCCAGTTTTAGGAGGATCCACTGGGATTCAAGCTGACTCTCACGGCACGGCGGAACTGTGAGTTTTAGCGCTACAGAGGTGATGGAGTTTTTGGTGGCAATGGCGACTCCACCGTAGCCACTGCCGTCGGGACGATCCTCACGGCTAAGTGAGTACCCGGGTAGCACAACTAGCCGACTGGCCCAGTGAAGTGCCGCGTCCAGGTCCTCCTGCAGGGATGCCGAGTCGGACGGAGAGCAGATAGGTCGATAGAGTTTGCTGTCGTCGGCGAATATCTTTATCCCGCAGTGTTCGTGAGAATCGTACAGTTTACCCGTTCGATACGGAAATGTTCGCGCGCCACTCGTTATCGTTCACTCGTTCTCTTTCGTCACCCGGAGGACCATAAAGTTATTGTTCATATAAGTAAAAGTCTATTCTTGAATGAAACGGAAACGATTAAAATGCACAAAATACGGCGGTCACAAATGCGGTTCACTGAATCGTTCTCGGAGGGCCACGTGGCCGCGTCGTACGTAAGGCCACGTCGGCCACGTCGTGCACCGGGCCGTCGCGCACCGGTGGAGTCCCGTCGAAGACTGTCAGGCCCCCGTCCCGTCTCAGCCCTCGTGGTACGCACAACACGTGGGCATGAGAACCAGGACAGGGGCCAGATGACACATATGTGAGCGGCGTGGCGCGGCGGACCGACCGCCGCGCTCCGAGCGCCGGCCGTCTTTGCGAAGATATCAAAAATGCCTATTTGCTCGCTAACATAGCCGGCCCGGTTTTTCGCGATCATCCGCGGAAAATCCAACAACTAGCGAGCAATCGTTCAAGCGTCTCGTACGCACGCACACACTCGCCACGATCCGCACACCGTGTGCAATATGCATACACTCACATACAATACGCATTACGCACTACAGAGTCTGGCCGGGGCGGAGGTCATTCCTGACAACAATCACGCGCCCAGTCGTAAAACTATACGACGGCGCGGTCCCGGCCGCCGGTCACTGTCACCGTTGTCACGCACTGACGCATGTCGTTAACTACGAACACTCGCTCGAGAGGCACTGGCGGCAGTGACAGTGCCGTCACATTGCCGACACACAAACACCCAGCACCCAGCGTACAACACATAACACACATTGCATTACCGAACGGAGCGGACGCGAACAGAAACTAGCGCTAACATGGGCGTGGTACCATAGACTAATCTAACACTGCGCACTCTAAGGTCGTAAACTAGCTCATTCGTAGACCGACCGGCCAAGTGGGCCGGGAGGGACACTGTCACAGTGAACGCGTAGCATCGTCACACGGCTCACGGTTGATAGCTAATGGCTGAACACTAAACACAAATGACCATTGACCGCGGACAGAGTGAGCGGCTCACTCTCACACGCACACGCACACAGACACGCTTACACCGCGAATGACGAGGGCAGGAAACACTAATAGATGTCCAGATCTCGACACTGCTCGCCGGCGGCACGGCAGGGTCGTAAACGACTCACTTCAGTCGTCCCACGCGCGCGCATATTATCCCATCAATACTGTCCGTCACCGTCGCACTCGAGGCGGCAGAGGCGGTTGACAGGCCGCCTGTATTGGCCGGTGGCAGTCGTCGCATCCACGGCGCGGATACGACCGCCTACACCGGGGTCATACACTCCGCTCGTCCCATCGGCCGGCGTCCACGCGGTACGTCTCCGTCGGTCAGCCGCACTGGTTCGCCAACCCTGACCTCGGTCGTATCCATGATCGACATGCAGTGTGCGGTCAGCGTGCGCGGGGAGACACTCTCGCCGCCGGCGTCGCCAGGAGCGATCATGCGGCTGCGTGTTCTTCCGCTTCCAGCGACGGCCACCGACTCTGAGCAGGCCGCCTGAGTCCATGAGGCAGGACGAGAAGTCACTGCCGTTTACGACCGGCTCCGCTCGCTCGGTGACGTACGCTGTCACCCTCGTCTCGTCGTCGGAGAGGGCGGCCGGGCCGGACCGCGCAGCTGGACCTCGTATCCACGGTCCGCCGGGGGCGAGGTCCGTCCCCGGGCCGCCTCTGCTGAAGATGTCGGCCGGGCCCGGCGGCTCGGCTGCGTGACACCACTGGGTCGTCTCTGATGATTCCTGGGTGTGAAGGTCAGCGACTGCACTCGTTTTATCACTGACACGAACGTGATTGACAACGTGTTCACCATCGAGCACCGAGCGTTCCGACTTCCGCCCGGTCACCGTCCATCCCAACAGCGTCCTTACGGCGCACGGCGTTCCCGTCGGTCCTGCAATCACTTCCCGTGGCACAATTAGTTCGATGGCGTCCGTCCCCAGGAGCACCTCCACCGGGTCGCGGGTGGCGCTGGGGAGATCCAGGTCGGCCAGGTGCGGCCATTCCTCCTTTGCCACCGTGCAGTCCATGGCCTTCGCTGACACGTTTAACGTCGGCGTCGTTTGGGCGTTTCGTATACGGTGTGCCCTGCCGTCTCCGCCCACAGCCTCAACGGCGAAGGATACGCGTCGTGACGTCGTCGTTTGGGTCCCACTCAGCGTACTCAGCACCAATTTGTCGGTGGGCCCCGAGATGCCGAGTCGGTAACACAGGTCGTCGGTGATCAGTGTGACCTGACTCCCCAGGTCGAAGAGTGCGTTCGTGGTGCGGCTACCTGCCGGCCCATTTACGGTGATGGGCACCACCTGCAAGAGAATGTCATTGTGAGGCTCGGCCGATGCGGTGCCGACATGTTTGGCAGATGACGGCGTACCATCATCGCAATCGCGCAGCGGAAACACTCGTCCTCCATTGTGTAACAGCGTGTGATGGCGCCTGCCGCAGTGCTCCGCGTCACATCGTGCATCACTGGGACACGTGGCGCTGATGTGATCGCGACCCAGGCAGTTAAAGCACAGTCCGTTTCTGCCGACGAACTCTGCCTTCTCACTCACAGTCAGCGCGAGAAATTCGTCACAGTGCTGGAGCTCGTGTGTTTGCTGACACATGGTACACCAGTCACTGTGTCGGTCCGCTGATGACTTTATGGCAGCTGTCCTCTCCCGCTTTACAGCCGCCGGCGTGGGCCGCGCCGACGCGGTGGTAAACACGCGTCTCGGGCGGCACTCAGCGTCATAAGCCTCGACCTTCGGCAGCTGCTTGGTGGTCACGTTCAAGGCCAACCGACCAGCCGACACATGACGGCGAAGCCATTCGTCGAGATCGACGAGCGTCGGACGAGTGATGCCGTTTTCCACCATGTGCTCGCCCCACCTCCAGGCGAGGGAGGCTGGTAGCTTCCCAGTCACAGTGGTGACGTTCGTGGCGGCGGCAAGGTCGTGATCGTAGTGTAAACACTGTAAGACGCTCACCGCGGTGTGGAGCTCACGAGACAGCTCTGTGAGCGCTGACAGGTCACCGTCTTTCACTGGCCGCGCTGTGAGCAGTCTTTTCATCGTGGCGTGTATCACACGGGACGGGTCACCAAACTCTCGTTCCAGCTCACCCAGGGCGGTGCTGTAGAGACTGGCGTCGCAGAGCATGCCGCGCACAGACTCTCTCGCCGGCCCCGTCAGGTGAGTCTGCAGATAGGTCAGCCGTTCTACGTCGGTGAGGTCGGCGCGGTCGTGTACCAGCGCTTTGAAGAGGGCTATCCACCGCGGCCACTCGATGGCAGAGCCGCCGAACTTCTCCAGCGTGATGCGCGGCAGATGTGGGACCGCTCTGGTGTCGTCACGGGACGGGTGCTGCGGCCGCACCGCAGGTGGAGGCAGGGTGCCGACAGGAGCCGTATCCACTGGCGGCACATGCAGCTGAGATTGAGCCAGCCACTGTCGGGTGCGCGTGGTTGACTCGTCCGTCTGTCGAGACACGTCCACCAGTGCCGGTTGCTCAGTTGCAACCACCGGAAGACCAGCGACGGATGGTGCAGCGGAAGAACGAGGGTGCTCCGAACCCCGCTCCTCCTGCTCCAGCAGCTCCAGCTCCAGCTGACGGTATTCAGCTTCATCCTTCGCCGCCTGAGCTTGCAGCGCTGCCTGCGCCTCCGCCTGCTCCGCCTGCCGCCGGGACTGCTCTGCCTGCGCGTCCGCCTGTTGTCGGGCTTGCTCCGCCTGCGCCTCCGCCTGACGCCGGGCCTGCTCCGCCTGCGCCTCCGCCTGACGCCGGGCCTGCTCCGCCTGCGCCTCCGCCTGACGCCGGGCCTGCTCCGCGTCCGCCTCCGCCAGACGCCGGGCCAGCTCAGCCTTGGCGGCGGCGGCGCGCTGGGCCTGTTCCGCCTGGAGCTGGCTAAGTGCAGCCCGGCGGCGGGCTTCACTGAGACCGGAGGACGCCGTGCTGAAGCTCGCCTCGCTCCTCGTGTGATACGAGCTTCGGCGGCTTTGATGTGATTTCGCATCACTGGCATGTCGTGACCGCTTGTCAGACATTGTACTCACAGTTCACAACACCGCGTCGTCACTGTAAATCCATCACACTAGTTCACTGACATCCGGCCCGGAGGACCAGAATGTTCGTGAGAATCGTACAGTTTACCCGTTCGATACGGAAATGTTCGCGCGCCACTCGTTATCGTTCACTCGTTCTCTTTCGTCACCCGGAGGACCATAAAGTTATTGTTCATATAAGTAAAAGTCTATTCTTGAATGAAACGGAAACGATTAAAATGCACAAAATACGGCGGTCACAAATGCGGTTCACTGAATCGTTCTCGGAGGGCCACGTGGCCGCGTCGTACGTAAGGCCACGTCGGCCACGTCGTGCACCGGGCCGTCGCGCACCGGTGGAGTCCCGTCGAAGACTGTCAGGCCCCCGTCCCGTCTCAGCCCTCGTGGTACGCACAACACGTGGGCATGAGAACCAGGACAGGGGCCAGATGACACATATGTGAGCGGCGTGGCGCGGCGGACCGACCGCCGCGCTCCGAGCGCCGGCCGTCTTTGCGAAGATATCAAAAATGCCTATTTGCTCGCTAACACGCAGCGTAGCGGCTCCGGCAGGTCGTTCACGTACAGCGTGAAGAGCAGTGGAGCAAGGACTGAACCCTGTGGGACACCGCTTGGTACAGGAGCCCAGTCTGACTTGCTGCTCCCAACAGTGACTCGCTGCTTCCGTCCTTCCAAGAATGCGCCGATCCATCTCAGAATCTTGCCTCCGATGCCGTGAGCTTCAACTTTCCTCAGCAGTCGTCTAGGTGGGACTGTGTTGAACGCCTTGGCCAGGTCTAGGTATATGACGTCGACAGGTCGGTTGCTCTCAATCATGCTGCTCCAATCTTCTATCGTTAGCGACAGCTGAGTAGAGCAGGACCTCCCTGGACGGAATCCGTGTTGGGCGTCATTGATCAGATTCTCTGACTTGAGGTGTGCCATAAGCCGGTCGCGGATGATCGACTCCAAGAGCTTGCACGGAACAGACGTCAAACTGACTGGCCTGTAGTTCCCTGGTTCATCTTTACTTCCTTTCTTGTAAATTGGAACCACATCTGCCAGTTTCCAGTCCTGCGGCAGGGTCCCCGTGTCCAATGACGATCGGTCGATGGAGGTAAGCGTGCTTGCTAACGAGTCGGCTGTTTCCTTGACGATCCGTGGGTGCACTCCATCTGGGCCCGCGGCGGAAAAAGGTCGTAGGGCAGCCATCTTCTTTCTCACGAGTTCCACGGTGAGATCGATGTCAGTGACAGCTGGACCGTGGTAGGTGTTGTTCGGCTCCGGGATTTCTCCGGGGGGTTCCATGACGCAGACTGAATTAAAAAAGTCGTTCATTGTCGTCGCTTTCTCGCAGTCGTTCGTAGTTAGTGTGCCGTCCGCAGAGCGTAAGTTCTCAACTCCGCTTGTCAGGGCATATTTTAACATACTGACTGCGTCCCATTTTGGGACGCAGCCCCCTGCCTTTGGGACGTAGCCCTCGCGAAATTTGGACCACTGCGTCCCACACTGAAATGTCACGGTTTCAGCGGAAAAGTGCAAGCAAAAATAATTAGCATGCCTCGGTCTTTTACTATGCAACAGATGTTGCCTTTCTGATTGCTTTGTGCCCTGATTTACTATGCACCTAAGCACATACATGCGCTCTCCAGTCCTTGTGCCCTGCCCTATCCTAGGGTCGTACACCTTGTTATGTACTGCCCTACTATACCCCTAGGATATGTGACCTGCCCAGTGCCCTGTCTTAAGGTCTTGTACCTTGCCCTGTCCTTCCTTCAGGCCCTGCGCCCTGTTCTGCATTCAGGCCCTGTGACCCTCTCTGCCCTGCCCAGTGCCCTCAAACCCGATATAATAACCCGATATAATACCCGTTGTCTTCCCGTCTTAACCCTATTCCTGGCGGGCTCCGCCGGGACAAGAAACTGGCGGGGGGGGGGCCCATTCGGCCCCCCCTTCAGATCTCAAAAACTACACATCGCAGCGACAAACGGTAAACGGCATCGGATACGCACGGTCAAGATCTACAATTTTTACTAAGGTCATTTTCAGGTCAGGTCAAAGATGACGTCACAGGGGTCGAAAAGTCAAAATGGCGGCGCTAGATATGGAGAGTTTTTCTCGAATAACTTTCGAATTAGTCAAGATAGGAACAAATTAAGGGCATCATCGTGATCCTCTCGTCAATCCGCATCGAATGATATATATGTTGACCTCGAAAGGTCAAGGTCAAAGGTTGACCTCAGGTCACGTGACCTCGAGGTCATCATGTATATCATTCGATGCGTCTTGACGAGCTGAACACAATCAGACCATCCACGCGTCTGTATCTTGTTCCTGTACGGAGTTATTGGCCAAAAACCTTTGGTGACCTTTGATGACGTCACATGACCTCACAGCTGCCCAACAGCAAAACAGACCTCAAGGTAGTGAAGGTTGATCGTATATGAAGTCATGTATGGTATATGGGGCCATTCCGACCCGTTTTAGTGGTAAAAACAGGGAGTTGATTTTTCCCCCATTGACTTATAATGGGGAGGTCGCGAAACTGACCTGACCTTAGGTCACCGATATCAAAATTCCGAGATATACAAATTGCACATAATTGTACCCTAATGAAAGCCTGAAGAGCAGAAATTGATCGGTCAAAAACTCTAGCTCTGGCGTGATTGCAAACTTTTCTGAGGTAGGGTCACCAAACCGCCTCTGGTGACCTGACCTGAGGTCAGATCAACTCAAAATTTTCAGACATGTTGCGTAGAAGCCTTTTAGGAAAAGTCAGAAAATTTGAGCTTCCTAGCTCAACGCGTTTGGGAGAAATAACCAAAAAACCTCAGGGGGGGCTCCTGAGGCCCCCCCCCCCGCCAGGAATAGGGTTAAGGGCCCGTCTGCTGCCGGTTCGGTGCTGGGCCCGGATTTCGGGAAAATCCGGGCCCGGATTTCGGGACCGGACTCGGGACACTTCTCTCCATAAGAGCCCCACACCAGCTTTTTAGTGTCCCTTGTCGGCCTTTGAGGGCCCCTTGCCGGCTTCTCAGGGCCTATTGGCGATCTCTGAGGGCTACTTGCCGGCCTCTGAGGGCCCTTGCCGGCCTATCAGGGACCAGCAGCTCTAAGGGTTCCACACACGCCTGCGATGACCCCCTAAATCAATGGTTGAAGGCCCCCACAACGGCGCCTGCGAGGGCCTTCACCGGCGGCTGTGAATGCCCCACACCGGTGCCTAGCACTGTGTGGCACCACACCGGCCCAACACTGCCACCTCTGAGTGCAACCGGCACCCCTGAATGAGGTCCCGAAACCAGTGCTTCTTAAGGCCATATATCGGCGGCTCTGGGGGCTCAACGCCGGAGCCGCATCGGACGGCCACTCACCGGTGACTTTTGATGGCCCCACACCGACCACTCTGAGGGCCCCACTGGCGTCTGAGTGTATATGTATAATATACCTTGCTGGTCTCTAAGGACTCCACAGGGCTCCCGAAGGCACCGCAGACCTCTTGAGAGCCCCTTGTCGGTCTCTGAGAGCCCCTGTCGGCCCGTAAAGGGTTCGAGCCAGCAGCTCTAAGGGTCCCACACCCGACTGTGACAACCCCACACTGCAGTGTCTCTGAGGGCCCACAACGGCAACTGTGAGGACCCTCACCGGCGCCTCTGAGGGCCCACAGCGGCACCTCTGAGGGCCCCGCACCAATGCCTCTGAGAGCATCACACCGGCACCTGTGAGGGCCCACACCAGTGCCTCCAAAGGCTTCATAACCGGCGGCCCTGAGGGCCCTACACGGGTGATTTTGAGGGGCGTACCGAAGGCACCACACAATCCCTTAGTCTCGCTGAGCTTCTATCCCAATTCCATACCGGCTTCTATCCCAATTCCGGCTCAACTAACTATCAGCCCCCCCCCCCTCCATGGGTCAGCAGCGCCGCGCCGGTACCGGGGGCCAGCGCCATCGGGGCGGCACTTGGGCAAATTTCGAGACTGGCCAAAAGCAATCACAGCCCGCTCCCAGTATCCCGCTTGCTGTCCCTCCACCGGCACATTACACAATAGGGTGTGTCACTAATCGCAATGCAAGGTGCTCCATCGATTTTATTGTGCTCCACTCATGTGGAAAGGGCGTGGCATTGTTAATTTTCCGCAAATTTTAACCCCCAGGCGGCGCCGAGCGAGAGAAGTTTGCCCTATCTCACAACATAGGCGACCCTAGCGCCCCTGGCGGCTGTTTGCGAAACTAACAGGCCGTTGACTGTATGGGCTTATCCCTGCTCTCTGTAAGCGCGTCTAGGGACAAATAATAGTATGGGCAGATTGCAGAGAGTGCAAGCTAATGACGAATACCTATAATGAATACAATATATTGTCACAGGGGCCCAGGAACATTCTTCAAGTTGGGGTGCAAGCCCAAAATACCTGACATGACGCATATGAAATAGTAGCGTAGTCAGGGGGTCCCAGGAGGCACGTGCCATCTAGTCCCCCCCCCTATCGCATTCAGAGGACCCCTCGGGTCGGAGGGGCTCTGTGGCACCAGTTTACCGCTCAGGGTCTATGCTGGCCATATTTCGATTCAGAAAGAATAGGGCTCGTAACAGCACCTCGTGAGTCCAAAGAAGCCTCACTAAATTGTCCATGAGGGTTACACGCCGGCTTCTGAAGGCTACTGGCGGCCTCTGAGGGCCCTTTACCGGCCTCTTATGGCCGCTAGCGTGCCTCTGAGAGTCCTTGCCGGCCCAAGAGGGGCCATATCTAGGGCCTTACGCCAACCTGTAATCAGTAATGGCCTCACACCAATGTCTCTGACGGCCCCATTACGACGACTGTGAGACTGAGGGCCCTCACTGGTGCTTCTGAGAGCCCAACCGGCCATAAAGACCCCTGCGGTACCAACTGACCTCTGAGGGTCCACGCTGACTATATTTCAGCTGAGAAAGACCTCACAGGTCTCGTAAGAGCACCTCATGAGCCCCTAAGTAGCCAAACTAAGATCTCCGTCAGGGTCTATGCCGGCTTCTGAGGATCCCATAACGGAGACCGTGAGGGCCCTCAGCAGGGCCTCTGAGGGTTCACAACCAGCACCTCTGAGAGACCCACACCAGTGGTTCTAAGGGCCCATAAGGACACCACTGAGGGTCCCACAAGTCAGTGCCACACCATTTATGCAACCCTATATTGGTGGCTCAGAGGTACCCACACCTGCGCCTGTGAGGGTTCGGCAAAAGCATATCTGACGGCCACCTACCTGCAACTCTGAGGGCCCTACACCAGAGACTGAGGGCCGCACTGGCGTCTCAGAGTACCTTGTCGGTATCTAAGGACCCCACAGGGCTTCTGAAAATGCCGCCGGCCTCTGTGGGCCCCTTGCCGGTCTGAGGTCCCCATCCCCGGTCGTTGAGGGCCCCCTGCCGACTTTTAAAGGGTTCGCACTAGCAGCTCTAAGGGCCACACACCCACATGTAACGGACCCACACCAGTGTTTCTGAGGGTCCACAACGGCGTCTGTATTCTGTGAGGACCCTCACCGGCGCTTATGAGGGATTCACACTAGCACCTCTGAGGGGCCACACGGGCGTCTGTGAGGACCCCACACCAGTGCCTCTAAAGGCCCCTAATTGGAGGCTCTGAAGGCCCTGCATCGGTGATACTGAGGGTCCTACCAAAGGCACAACACAAGCCATTAGTCTCCTTCTGAGTCCCACACGCCGCCCTCCCACCATAGGCGGTGGAACGGGGAGGGCACCGGGGCACCGTGCCCCCTCTGATTTGGGCATTTTAACATTAGCCCTATGGGCGTTGCATGGAAAGAATGGGACCAAAAGTCGGCAGTGTCCCCCCCCCCCCCACTTAATTGAAGGTGTTCCGCCGCTACTGCCTCCCACCGGAGCGAGTAAACCTGTATCAATCAACGACTTTACCACCGTTGTACGTCATAATGTTCTCATCACGCCAAATCAAATACCATTCGGAACCAAAATGGTCCAGTATAAAATCTGACCTACCAAAGTTATGATCAAGTTTAGATAAAATCAAAGTGGGATGACAATAGCAGGTGTTCTTAAATCGATGCCGAATCAGCAGAAACCATTCACATGCAAGAGAAATACCTTGTGCTAATGTTTATATAAAAACAGACATGTAGGTCCATAAAAGGGAGCAGAGATCCTTCATCGTTGCATCAATGTTGAGGGGGCGGCGCCCACTCGGCTCTCAAGTTGGAGGGGGGGGGGGTAAGCGCCCCCACTGCCCCCCCCTGTTCCCCGGGGTCTATGCAGTGAACGACGCTAAAAAAAACATGTGACACCTAATAGCAGGCACTATAAACATGCGCTCGTATGTACGTATCCCGTCAGACCAGGACGGGGATCGGCGGTAATACTATGCAATATACATTAACACAGAACTATTTCGTGCTTTAAGATGCATAACATCACATTTTCACCAACATTCTGAGTGCCAGACAAGCCAACAGCAAGGCGTCATTTCGGTAAAATGCATTAATGATGATCGTAAGCTCGCAAAGCATAGCGAGCGTGTTAGTTCAAAACATTGCCGCTAGGGGCGCTGAGGTCGCTAATGCTGAGAGATAGGCCAAAGTGTCGGCGGTCGGCGCCGCATGGGTGTTAATATTTGGGGGAAATAAAAAATGTCACACGGTTTCTACGTGTCTGGGGCACGATAAAATCAGTGGAGCACCATGTTTTGCGAAAAAAGTGCCCAAAATGACACACCCTATTACACAATGACACGTGTATCTCACCTGCATTATATACTATTTCGCTTGCAATGTGGTATGTGCCCTTTCCGATCGAAGCATGTGCCCTATGCCACCTTTGGGACGCAGTAAAAAATCCTTAAAATATGCCCTGCCGCTTGTAGTCTTCATCCTGGAGCCAGCGTATCGCCAAAAACCCTTGGGATTTTCTTTCAGGTTGGAGGCCAGTCTCCTTTCGAAGTCTTTGCGCAGGTTTCGGGTGAGTCGCCCAGTGTCCTGATTTTCGTGAATTTGGGTGGAAACCCACACCTAACAGATTCTCTTTGTGACGTCCCGGAAAGCCAAACGACGTCCCTGACAGGTAAAAGTCGATAGGTATATCGAACACCAAAAGCAAACTAACAAAAGAAATATCATCTCTGTAGCCTAAAAACACGGCTATGCAAAATGGCAATAAATATATCCTAAGTCCTCACAAAACCACTCTTACACTCAACTCCCCTTTCCTGGCCAGCTGCCGCAACAGTAAACAACGCGGTTTTATTTCATTTTCGTTTTCTGTGCGTCAGATATGGATAGGTTTTTTCCTTTACCATGTGAAGGTAATGCTGCCATATGAAGGAGAAAAGATGTCGGAATAGAGGGATCTGAGGACGTCGTTTTCCACTTTTCAGTTTTAGTAACTGTGCAGTGTATAGATAAAAATTAATCATGCGAATATATTACTTGGACATTTAACTATAAGCACGCAACATACCTTTCGTATCAAATTACTGTAACATATTTAATTATTTTTTCCCCTCAGAAGGTCGCAGTAACGGGTTAGCGCTGCCCCTTGAACATGCCCTTCAAAAATAGTTAATTTTGCATATGTTGATAGTGGTTGGGGAAAAAGTTTAATGTTTAACTGTTTGAATTAGAATAAAGTTACCGAATTTCAACAGAATTAATTCAAGTATGTCGTCCTTGGCTTAAAAATACACGCAATGTTGGGGACGTCGATTGACCTTGTTATTCCCATTTAATCGACGTCGGTACAAAACTGAAAAGTGCACAATGATTTCACATTTTTTCCAGCCAAGAAAAATTCAGCGTCCGCCTTGGAGTTCTCTTAATTGAATTTCATAACAGTAAGCTATGGAAATTAATTTTCCGAACTGTTTTCCACCTCTTTGTTTGGACGTCTGCTTTTTTACATCAGTCCTCTTGCTCGATATGATATCCCCCTTATGACGTCAATATTTAGTGATAGCCGCTGGCTCTTGGGCTGATTTTGTTGAAGCATATTTGTTGTTGACTGTTGTGTACGATCATGGACAAGAACTAGACATTCAAAGTGTTGTTTTGGTGTTTGCGGTGAATGCTTGAATTTTGTATTTTACTAGGGGTAAACTGGCGTTACTTTGTGTCTATATATGATCATTTGAGGTGCCTTGAGGTGGTATTAGTCAATATTGCCAGTGAAAATCGCTAATTTTAAGAGATTTAGGTAAGGGACCTTCAGTGGCTTAGGCTCCGCACCGATATCGACGTCCTTTTGAAATAGCGACGTCCTCGTGGCTTCAATCACACTCCCCGAAAAATCAATTTCAGGACACTGGAGTCGCCTGAGGTCGTTTTTGCAGCGAACGTACCTTGCATGACTGATGTCGTCCATTTCTCGAGTGTAAGCGGCCCAGAGCTTCTTTTTCCTGTTCTTTAGCCTCAAGGCTTCCCTGTTTATGTAGATGCTTCTGTTTTTCCTTGGACACGCTTTGGGGACGCATGCGTTCACCAGGTGGGCTAACTCGGTCTTGAAGGTGTCGTAGCGTTCTTGCATATCCATATGCATTTCATCACGCCACTGTCTCCGTCTGATCAGGTTGTTAAGCCGTAGATAGTTGCCCTTGTTTAAGTTGAGTCGTCCCTCCTTCACTACCTCAGGCTGCATGTAGCAGCACACCTCAAATTGTAGTAACATCTAAGTCTTAACATGTAACATCTTAGTAACATCTTAGACTAACTATCTTAGAAAAAAAACATGTGGTCACTGTTGCCAATAGGTGGGTGATAAGCAAGGTTGGTCACCAGGCCTTCTTCGTTGGAGAGGATGATATCCAGGCTGCTTGATCTCTCGCCAGCACGGTATCTTGTGGCTTTGGTTACGTGCTGGGTGAGGCCGCATTCCTGTACGCCCTCAACAAACCTTTTGGTGTAGTGACCATCAGGAGCGTGGGAGAAGTGATCGTTCCAGTCGATCTGGGGCATATTCACATCACCCGTAATCACTATGTGGGAGAACTTTTGGGAAACAACAGTTTTCAGCAGAGATATTAGGTTGTCAGTTGAGGTGTTTCCGTCACTGGATGGGCTTCTGTACAGACATCCTATGAGCAGCTGGTCAGCACCTAGCAAAGGTAGCTTGACCCACAGCTGTTCTTCATAAGAGCAGGCTGGGAAAGACACCTCTGTAGCCTGCCACTTTGCACTGATAAATATGCAGATGCCTCGAGCGCCCCCCTGTCCCAGTTTATCCTTGACAGGGTCAAAGTTCAGGAACATGGTATAGTTTGGAAGGGCCATGGTTGCAGGGTGCATTGGATGGCTCTGGGCTTTTGGGATGACCTCACACAAAAGTATCAGATCAGGCTCGTTGTTTGAAATGAACATGGCCAGGTCCTCCCTCTTGTTTAAGTATTGGTCAATGTTTGTGTACAGAATTGTTAGTTTCCTTCGACCACTTCTCTCCATTTCATCTAGTCATTTGTGATGGGAGATCGAAGAGGGTTGTCCAGAACTCTGCTGGACAGGTCTGTCTTCATCTCGTCTTGCCAGATTCCCACGACTTTCATTTCCCAGAGTGGGGGGCTGATCTGCCTGGCTTCTTACTGTTCGTCTCTTTTCATGTGGGATAGGAACAATCCTACCATGTCTGATCCAGATGTGCTCCTCTCCCGAGGCCCTCCTCCTTGCCAGTTCATTCCGCAGCTGTCTTCCCTTTTCCCTCTCCTTCCAGGTGAGATCAGGCGAGATGAAGATATTACTCCAGGCGGAGTCTCTCAGTGAAGCAGCAGATTTCAAGATCTCAAGCTTATCGTTCATGTTGGCAAGTGTGACTATCAAGAGTCTCGGCTTGCCATCAGTCAGTTTGCCGACTCTGAATGTTTTTGTAGTCTCCACCATGAGCTTCAGACCCTCCTTTATTATTTCCTTGAATCTGCTACTGTCCTGTTCAGCCTTCTCAGAGAACGACAATCCTTCTGGTTCCTGTAGATTGTGCACGACAACATTGAGCTTTCGGCGCTCCTTGTCGTTCATCTCATCGATCATGCTTGCGATCTCCTCGTTGGATCTTTGAACGGGTGTTGTCACAGCTGGCATCTTTTTTATCATCTCTGACACCTGCTCGACGATCTTTCCACCGACACCTTTCACTGCTTCTGCGTAGCTCTTTGCAGGGTTTTCGTCTTTGCTGGCCCCCGATACTTTGTCAAGGATCTGACATTGGTGACTGAACATTCTCTCCTGATTCTTGACCACCTCACTTAGTGTATTGGAATTGTGGCGGGTGATCTTTTCCAGCTTCGACACTGTTTCCTGCATGACAGATACCACCCCAGTGGTAACAGGGGTCCTCAGCGATGCCCTACATTTGTCACAAAGCCACACTAGTGTGCCATGCCACTTTTTAATAGCTGACGTTGCTGCCTTCGTGAGTCCCTGACATTTGCAGTGGAACCACTTCATGCACTTTTCGCATTCAGCAGCATCATCACCATCAAGTACCTCTTTCCCGCACTTTGGTTTTCCTGGTCCACCTAGACAGATTTCCACTCCCTTCTTTGTGCTGCACTCCCCTTTATCACTAGCGGGGTCAGGACTCGTGTTAGCTGATCTAGTCCCCCATGGCCTATAGGCGTCACTGTCGAGACGCTTAACTACTGGTGTCCTGTGGCCTGCGCTTGACACTTCAGAGTTTTTGCCATCCTGCTTGGACTCGGGATCGCAGCTTTGTTCGTCTACATCTGTCGCCTGGGCATTGATATCAGAGGTACCGTTACTCGTCTCTCCAACCGCATCAGATTCTTTCATAGGATTTTGCTCTTTGCCATTTGCTGGGTTGGGACTGTTTATGTCTGATGGACAGGAGCTGGGCATGCCAGTTTGAGCATCATGAACGGATCTGACTGCAACATCACCATTCACATTTGGCATGTCAAGGGACTTACCCGTGTTCCTGGACCCAGTGCTTGAGCCTCCTTTCTTATTTTGGTGATCTAAGGCCCTCTTAGGCTCTATTTCCTCACCTCTGTTCCGATTTTCTCCATCCACATTCACATTACCGTTTCCGCTTCCTTCGTTTTTCGACGATCTCGGCGCGGTAGCGGTGGCGTTCTGGTTCGTGAAACCCGGTGGGTTTCGATACTGCAGTGGGTTTCTGCCCAATGCGGCATCGAGGGGAATGAGAGCGCAGACGACCTGGCAAAACAAGCGGCCGCCCTGAACTACCGCTCGCTGATCAGGGCGGTTCATTGCGCAGCCTCTCATCAATGGCGCGACAACTGGTCCGAGTCACTATTCAAGCCACTCCTCGGTAGCACGCCACCGAGGAGTATCTAGGGGGCCTATCTCCGGAGTCCGGAGAGGACTGAGAGAACGCTGTTTCGGTGCACCAGATGACGGCGGGCCACAGGCCTGGCCCGCCGTCTAGCCTTTGTATCTAGAAGGTTCTTTCTTTTGACACACTTGTTTTATTAGTATGACGTTATGGGCACAAAATGACCCTAGTAGTCGGCGCGCCCTAAAGCCCTAATTAACAAACAAACCGCTCGCTGCAGTACGTGCACCGAATCGGCTGTCTCTACTCCACGGCATGCCAGTAGTACCCAGACAAGCGGTGCCCCGCGGCGCTCTGCACAGTGTGCCGAGAAGAGGCTGATGTGCCAGAGCACGTGCTGCTCTGCTGCCCAGTCCTCGCTGGCTCCCGCCATATAATGGTGGGCGACAACACATGTCACATAACACAACATGGTGTGTGGCAGGAGACAGCACGCCCACACCGCTCCGCCGACATTTGTAGACCCCGATCTTCGGGCTCCGGCCTTGTTTCATGGCACATCAGTAGATGAGTACATGTGCTTTATAAAAAAGTGGCTTAGTTTTTGACTTTGGTACAAATAGGCACCCAATTTTCAGCACATATCATGCAGAAATTTCAGAACAAAATCGCTTGCGCCGAATTTGGGCGCAAGAGGGAATCACGAGCATCCGCTGTAGTGTACAATGTGTTCCAGTCTGGCTGGCTTAAAGCGTGCCAACTGCCATGCACACTCAGCTGGAAGGACAGTCGGTGACACACCAGGGAAATAAGCTAAAATTAGAGCGCTCTATTTATTGCTTCCGCTACTTCACCGTCTCCCATAGGGTCCTGTGTTGAGCTGGTGTCGAGGCTCTAAAAATGACGCCGATTTTTGCACCCTTCTCACGAAAACCGCTCGGACCGCCTGGAAACTAATTGTTCCGCTCTAAAAATTTCATGATCGACGGGAAAATGAACGAGGAAAAGATTGGTCCTGAAATAATTCTGAACTCCCTGTAGAACATATCGAAATATGGCTGCAAACTAGGAGCATGTCAAAATCGACAAAACAATACAAATAAACTTACCGGGATTTTTTTTATTTTCCATGCATCTGTGTATGAAATCAGTCGGTTTTTCGGAAAGATCGTCTTCTGTTTAATAAATATTTCCACAATTGCAATCGAGAAAAAAAAACATTTCTGCTGTGACAGCAGTTTTGGCATTGTGCCAGTAGTGTGGCGTGCGCGGTGCTGCGTGGTCGTCGGGACGGAGTTGTGAGTATTTTCGGTGTTTTAAATGTTTGATGGTCATTTGAACCAGCTTTATATTATTTCCTACCAATTTTTGAATCAAATTATTGCTTTGAAAGACCATTGAAACCCCTTATCTCTTTATGAAACACGATCATATTCATCGTCGACGAAAATGGCGCGGGACTCCATGTGAGTTTCGATCGAAATAAATCGTAAATTAAATAATATTCGATGATAAGTATCATATTTTAGTGACACATTTTCATAAAATAAGGCATAAACTTTGCAAGGAAGTCAACATTGGATAATTGGGTTCTTATTTTGCTCACATATCCTTGTAGTAGTCAAATGGCTCAATTGTTAGATAAATGTAAGTATATGTTTTGGCTTGATGTTTGCTGAGAAACCACCCAGCCACTTGCTGGTTGAGTGGTTTTCTGATAATTACCTGATAATCATTTCTCCTTTTCCTTAAAAGAAACTAAAATTCTTTTCAAAGTTACCCATTTTTAGGAAAGGCGGCTTGCTTATTGACAGTTCATGTTCTTGTTTTGTTATTGCTGGCAGTATTTTGATACAATAATGCAATATGAATTTTTTTGCAATAATAAAACCTAAGACAAACTTAGTTAATGCGTCAATCAAACACCCAACAGAAAGATTGTGAGTCCTTGTGACGTGAAGTAGAATATTCTATGAATGTGTTTTATAGAATATGCCAAATGTTAAATTAATTTATTATTTGATACTGATAGCTGAGCATGTGAATTATGCCACAATATAATTTCATTTTCTGGTTTTGAAATAGCCGGCAGTATTTTACTTCAACAAATGTAATATACATGGAATACATGTTGTTATATCATGTAAAAAGTTTAATAACAGCCAACAGAAGGGGCTGTTTCAGCAGATAATGTTTGTACCTTATGCATTACCTTTCTTTTCTGCAGGACCATGCTTCCGCTGGGTGGTCGACATTTGCCTCCTGAAGAAGTTGAGCAACATGAAGACCACCAGATGAGGTGTCTGCAGTTCATGTGGAACTCTGCAGACTACAAGTGCCAACCACAACCAAAGTGCTGTGATCATGGAGGCATGAACCTCATGACAACACTTCAGATTTGCAGTTGTACCAAAGTGTGATTCAAACCACCTGTGGCATCTCACTCAATGCGTGAACAGTGAGATCATTGTGTAGTGTTCAGCTGCAACTAAGACATTTATTAGTGACTTGTTTGGCAATTAGCCACCAAAAGCATTTTTGGGCTGGCTGCTGTAATTTGTTGTGCACTGCGCAATAGTGGTAGTGTTTTGTCACTTGTCAAGTTGTCAGTTGTGCATGTTGCATGTTTCTCTCCCCTCGGCCCTCATTATCAGTTAAGTGGTGAATTGGCATCAATCACTCAGTCTCCCCAGATCTCCATTGACTGTCTGTCAACCACCTAACTTGAGATGGTATTTGCTAATAGTGTCAGAAAAGAAGTGATTGTAGACATTTTTAGGATCATGCGTGTTCCAGTGGTCATTTTGTCACATGTCCCATAGTGTAATAAATGGAGACTGCTGTTCCCTTTTGAAGGTACTCGCGGATGCAGAAAGCGTTGGGCCTAATTGTTAAACGCACCCTCCTATCAGCGACGCACGAAATCGACAAATATCATCCTTTTTAGAACAGGAGGAAACGAAAACTTGTGAACATAGCTGTACCTACAACAGTGCATAAGGAATTGAAATTCTGGGAGTTTTTGAAATTCGGAGAAACTCAAGTTGTCGACAGGTATGCCCCCTTGTAGGTACGTCAAAGACCGCCTAAAAAACAAACGTCTACAAATGAAGGCAGTATTCGTATGTTCGTTGTAATTGCAGCAGCCTAGCAACATGCATTGCGGTCCGATGGCGAATTACACTCGTGCTCAAAAACTATGCCATTGCCGGCAACTGCCAATGCACTTAGGTCATAGGTGAGGAGAGGAAGGGTTATGTCAAATGTCAACATCATAGAAATGACTTCATCTATTGAGCTGTGCCTATTGTGCATAATTCAACCAATCTATGCATTTCGTTTCTTGCAATCTACTCATGCTTTCACTCCAGCTTCAGAGTAATCATCCCATATTGTACGTCTTAAGATATTGATTTCTATGGCGGTTTGCAATTGCTAGCCACGTCTTATCTCAGTTTGGTGGCCCCGCATCGGCCCACTCGGCCGCTCTAAAATTGACTTACGGGGGAGGATGGTGGCTTTTATTTTAGCTTCTCCGCTGACTGCGAGGAGCGCCGTCGCCGAGGTAGGAGCAATAATTAGCTTATGTTTGGGACTAATTTCCACGCTTAATTAACATTTTAATGTAATTTTAATTAATTCATGTTAATCTTTGACGCATTCTCTTTCTATTGATACCATCCACCGGTCTGAGAAGTACTGCCGTGCTGCGTAAGGGCCGGTAAAAGATCACGCTTTTAGGGGTATCTCTTCAACATGGGGCAGGAGCAATAAATAGAGCGCTCTAATTTTAGCTTATTTCCCTGGTATGTCACCAACTGAGGACCCCCTGTACTTCCACACGAGGTGGGCTCACTCTCACACTTGTTTGTTGCCCCACAATATGACACTCATCAACTGTCACAAACATGCAGTAAATCAATAGAAATAAGCAGCTACCTAGTTAACACTCACCACTTCACCTGGTAGCACTTACTCGTGCAAGAAGAAATTGAAACAATCCACTTCAAATTTGTTGATGCAGTGCAGGGCCCTAAAGCATAATGCAGTGTTAATTAATCTTGCGGTGCCCAGCAGCAGAAACAATAACAACGCAGTGATACGTGTATTGCTGCGAAATTCGTATCTGTGTGATCTTTTTTATGAATATCATATTCATGACATCATAAGTCATTACCCAATTACTTCTGTTGTTTTAAGGAAACTTATATTTTTTGGCAGTGTTCTTTGTTCAAATTGTTAAATTTTATTTAACTTTAAAAAATTACAATGCAGGCATACAGATTAGCCTTAAATATGATTTTTTTCAATAAAAATCTATACCTGCGCCATTTTGTCTGATTACGTCATTTTTAAGTCATTATCAGTCAGTAAGAAACGTTTGTAACAGTCGCGCCAAGAAAAGATTGTCCAAGGACTGAAGAATTGGGCCCACTCTTAGGTCACGTGATACATGATTACTTTTAGGGACCGTGTATATCACACCACGGTGAGATTTACACAATACCGGCCATTTGTGTAAATCACACCCACCCCGGTGTGATATACACAATTTTGACCGAGTGTGTAAATCACACTCCGAGAGATTAGGGACGACGGTGAAAACAGGGCGCCTGGGGCGATTTGATCAAGGTTCGTGGAATTCACACGTGATGTTTTATATGTAGAAGTATTGTAGAAGGCCCATGGAGGGGGAGAACTTCCAAATGTCACGTGACTAATATGCCCTCCGGCGCCCTGTTTTCACCGGCGTCCCTAATGCATTTCAGTTTACGGACGACGGTGAAAACAGGGCGTCCCTAATGCCAACTTTTTAGCTATACCCTAGTCCCTGGCAGTGAAAGATAGTTGAATTTCAATGATAAATCAAACAACAAACCTTAAAGGCTAAAAGTCAAAATTTTTATCAAATAGGTCAGAGCATGCAGGAGAACTACTCTACACCTTCGGAGTCGAGCAGTTCATAATACCGTCCCGTCTATACCACTGAACTATATAATGGTCTATAGGTACCAAACCGTCCATAATCCATATTGATATACCTTACCTCACCTTACCTTATCGGTTATCGGGTAATAAGGCCACTAGGCCTGGAGGTCCCGCTTCCATCGAGCGTGTGTGACTGGTAAATGTAGGGATTCGGGATGTCGTACATCCTGTTTGCCCAGTGTCGGTCCAGTCGTGCCTTGAACTGAACAACCGATGTGGCAGACACTACTGTGGAGCTGAATGTGGGCTAACTTCCGTTACATTACTGTGGACGGCAGGGCGTTCCAGTCGTTGACGACTCTTGTGCTGAGGGTGTTTCTTCGTGTCAGGGGCCTTGTTTCACCGGTGATAGCAGCACGCTGCTTTTACACGTGTCAAATTGGGTTTCCATGGAAACATCAACAGGCCCATTGCTCCAACACTACCACAAGTGTGACGTCAGCTCGCGCAATTTGATAGCAGCGTGGTAGCAGCGTCCCGTGAAACACCGCCGGGTTTTCGCTCTGGATATACCGTCATTTGTGATACACAGCAAGTAGGTTGAGGCGGTTGAGGTTCAGGTTCATGTCGTTCATCGGGATCGGTATCAATTGATTTCGTTGTAATTTGCAAATTGAAATACTTCATTTGATTTGATACTTTGATTTGCAAATACTTGATTTGATTTGGTAGGTACTTTGAGGTATTTGCCCAATGGAGGGTTGAAGGATTTTGGTAGGTAAGTACCTGCCTTAGTGGTACTAGAGAGGCACTTAATTTGTATAGCAGTCGGGGGAGGTTTGGTCAATCGTTGTCATTTTTAGCACGTGCTATTTTTGTGACTCTGCCAAAAATGACAACGATTCTGCTATTTTTGACAACGATGAAGCCAATTTCACTCCTCAGCGAGGAAATCACAATTTTGGAAAGATAAACACTGATTTTCTAAAATAAGTGCTGCCATCTGGTGCAATAATTCCTTATAAAGGTGCCTTTCAGAAGATATGCAACTTTAAGACCTCGCAAGAATAAAACCAACAGGACAGGAGAATGAAATTGAGCTATGCTTTCGGGCCTTACTGGGCCCATTGAGTAATCAAGCATGAGTGTGAACTTTGGGCGCATTTTTCCTAGTCTTGCTGTGGACATACAGATAAAACAATGCCATATATGAAAAATTCAGACATTTATTAGCAGGGCTGCGGAGTCGATGGATTTTGGGCGACTCCGACTCCGACACCGACTCCGGCTTTCAAAAACCAGCTCCGACTCCGACTCCGACTCCAGGCAGAATTGTCGACTCCGACCGACTCCAACTCCCGACTCCGACTCCGCAGACCTAGCAGGGCTGCGGAGTCGACAGATTTTCGGTGACTCCGACTCCGACTCCGGCTCGGGTTTCTAAAATCGACTCCGACTCCGACTCCGACTCCGGTCACAACTGTCGACTCCGACCGACTCCGACTCCGACTCCGACTCCGCAGCCCTGTTTATTAGCCAGACTGACAAAAATAAACAAAAACCCTTTTTTTAATTAACCCACGCCCTGGTGGGGGGCTATTTTTTGCCCCCCTCCAGACTTTTTGATGTATCTCCAGAACCGCTGCGCCGATCGTCACCAAACTTTCAGTACCCTCCCGGACATCAATTTTACACATTGCGACCAAAAATTTTTCCAAAGGCTATGATAGGTTGGCCGGAAATGACGTCAGAGTGACGTCATGTTCTGCCGTTTTCGACCCAAAAAAGGGTTTCGCGGGAAGAGCTGTCAGGCCTAGAGCTTTGCAAATACAGAAAAATGATAAAGACATAAAAGCTGTAGAATTGACAGGGCTACAAAACCGCTATCTTGGATTTTTGAAATTTTTGGATTTTGACCCCCAAAAATCAAAAATAGATTTTTTGAATATAATAGCCGAAAAAAAATGAATTTCGCAAAGACCGGAATATATGTGCTAGTCCTTACCGCCGTCTATCCACATACCAAATTTGAGATTGATGCCTCTTTTTTTGGCGAAGTTATAGCGGAAAAACTGTGAAAATTGATGACGTCAAATTTTCAAACTCAATTTTTAGCAATTCTAGACCCGTAGCGCAAAACAAAGACCACCATTAGACTCCCCGTGACGAGCTGCATCGAATCAATACCCATTTTATGTAAAACTATCAACTTAAAAATTTGACCTTTTTTGACCTGACCTTGACCTGACCTTCACCAGAAGGTGACCTAAGCCGTACCTGATAGTCTTATAACCAACACCATTGAGTTGGAAATGAAAAATTTGCCATAAAACATGCATCGCACAACCTTAGTACCTAAAGTTGGGTTCATGTGACCTGACCTGTGACCCTTGGTGACCTAACCTGTGACCTGACCTGGTATTGTCAGTGACCTCTAATAGCAGCATATGTACAGGGTGTCTCAAAAGTTCGCTTACACATTTCCCATGTCAATAAAGCATATAAGAACCGGCCAAAAATCTAAGGTTTTGGTGTCCGTGTGTACACTAGACAAATATGCATACTTTGACAACTGATTCGGAAGGTTGGAAACCAAACCCTTTGCTGTATCTCCAAAAATATTTGCCCATACCGATATTCGTCACTCCGTCAGCTGCCGGATGCTGATAAAAGGTTACCAGCTTTCAAGCTCTTGTAGGGGAATCCCCTGCAGTTTCTGCGTCGGATTTAGGTTTGACGAGCTCCCCGGCAACATCCGCTTCTCCCTGAAAGCCGACAGCTTGCATCGACACCATCCGTGAGTAATGAGTATTTTGTAGGTCTTCTCTGGCGCTAACTCCTTCATGAATGACTGGCGCCGACTTCCCAAGCACCATTTTTCTTTTCAAAACAACCCCATTCCTGAACAAATGGGAAGTGCCAGGGGCAAATTTTTCGCAGCATATCGTAGCAGAATGTGTCGGCCATCTGTTTCTTAGACACATTTTGCAAATTTTGCAAATCCCGAACGCTCGTCATTCCCAATGCCAAGACCTTCGCTGGGTTCCGGAGTGTTTTCCTCAGGAGAGGTTCTGCTTTGTAAACGGCCAAAACCTGTCCATCGTGCGGTTTTGTCCGGATTTTGTGTGTAAAAGAAAGCTATTTGCTCCAGATCTGCCTCTTGAAACTTCGTTAGATAAAACTTTACATTAATTGACACTTTTGGAGGGTCACTTGTCCTCGGCATTGACGATTTTCGCATTATTTTCCCTCAAAATTTAGCGTTATAGATATTATAAACAATTTAAAATGATATTTTGTCTTTATTTTATGATGACCTGCAATTTTTGAAACTGGGTAACCTCTGTCTGTGAGCTTCTAGTCAGTTTTCAATAGTTAGGACTGCATTTTCAGCTGCTTTCCGGAGCACGAGTCTGCTGCGGTACAAGGGTCGTTCAAAGCGTTGTTAGTCTCGCATGGTTTTGTCCTTCAAAAATTTTAGCCACCGTTTTTATTAGATGACCAGCATGTTGTACTCATCCTCGCCGACACTTTGCCATGTGTCATTTCCGACCTAACCATTCCCATTACTCGTGAAGCAGAGAGTTTCTCAGCCGACCCGAGTATGCGACCTCCATTTTCATGCCTGATCCATGGTCAGAGGTGAACCCTTTTTGTGAGCTCATGAAGGGTCGAATGCGCTTGAAAACAATGAAGCTGCTTGAGGAAGGTTGTTACCAATGCCCATGCAAAATTTCGACTGTTAATTTCTTGTTGATTCAGAATTATTGACAAAAAAACATGGCTGGTACACTCGGGGGCAGATTGATGTTCCACCACTCCCCACCCATCGGGCTCCCATGGTTCAGCACTGGCTGCTGCCAGTGTTGCCTGCCCTCAGCACTGATCAGCACTGCCTGCCAGTGCCAGTGCTGCCAGTGCTGCCACTGGCAGCAGCCAGTGCTGAGCCATGGGAGCCCGATAGGTAGGGAGTGGTGGAACATCACTCTGCCCTCGAGTGTACCTGTAAGCGAACTTTTGAGACACCCTGTACTAGGGAACTAACGCCCTATCACTGATTCTCGACAAAATGCGTTTTCCTCGGTGTTATAGCGCATTCCCTAGAAGATCCGTGAACGATGAAACATTTCATCTTTGACCTGACCTGTGACGTCATCGGTGACCACGAGGTCAATGAAATTTGGTTTCCTTCGACAAATTTGACAGGCCTTTCGAACGCCGTTTGAATTTTGCGGATCCGTCCAGTAGTTTCGGAGATAC